CAAGCCACTTATGCTACTAGGTAAGAGAGACTAGTGTAGATGAAATGTCAATCAACTTGACAGCGACGGTTTCGTACCTGGCCCGACGTAGGCCTACCTCATGGTTGACAGTCCGAGCCACGACCGTTTTGCGGCAACCGCTTCCATCATTAAAACTGTTTAATTTGGATTTAAATTAATCGAAAAATGGCTATTTAATGTCAAAACAGATTTGATAATGATCGAGGTTAGGTTGACTTCAAGAAGTCTGTCGAGAACAATTCAAACTTTTAAAAACTGATAAAAGGTAAATATACAATCTCTAGCTTTAGAAGGCATGACACTACTAACTAGTCAAAAGTATTCCTGTAATTGAATTAGCAGTATATTTTGAGAATCTTGCCATCATCATCCTCATTCATCATCACCACCACCACCATCATTATCATAATCATCATCAAGATCATAATCATCATAATCACTATCATTATCAGATTATTGATTAAATTTATTGGATCCAATTTGGAGGTTCTTTTTGATGATCCAAAGTCAAGTGTAAATTGAGATGTTATACTCACTATTTATTTCTTAATGTTTCACCTGTTGTCAGCAAGGCTTAGTCGTAAGTGCCTATATGACTATCATTATCATAAACATCATATCATAATATCATCACCATAGTAGTAGCAGCAACAGCAGCATAAGCAGTTTAGCACACATTTTAGTACGATAGTAAACTTCGTACAGTGTTCCTTTATCTGATTTCACCAAATATCACGCTAAAAGCGTATACAGACATCGTTGTATAGCATACCAATATGTTTTCAAAGCTGAATCTTCGCTTTATTCATCATGATATGGCAATCTAATTTGTTTGTATTAAGTAGTTATCAGATCTTGAGCTCACGCTATTGTTTCCTGTCACTGCTATTAAAGGAGCATTTATTATTTCAATGTGTATAATGTGGAAGGCGAAATTGAAATACAGGCCCATTATCGATTCGTATGACCTGATTTGAATTCAATTCAAGTACTGTACTTATATTCGCAATCAAATTAGTCACTGTAAAAGCCTTACTTGCGTTCTTATTAAACTTGCGATGTAGACCTATTGTGTCATAATAGCATTAAGACTGATTATTAGTAATTTTCTATTTTAATAATGGCCCTTTTTCGAGAATTAATATTATTATAACAGACGTAATATTTAGTTTTTGTGTCATATTAAGTACCTTCTAGGCTTACTTCGATTACCATTACCAAAAAAACTGTTACTACATGACTGATGAATTACCCAACTGTAATACTGTAATTATTTCACTTGTATTGTTTTCTCATCCTGTAAATTTCCACTTCGAATTCCTGTCTTCAAATTACGCAGAGAACACCTTCAACGGGGATACAGCAGGCAATAAGATCCCCATTGAATGTCACAATAGGCTTATTGTAATCAATACACCAGTATTTGTCGCGCTATTGACTATTGATTATTCTGTTCACTGTGTCGTGAAGTAGGCCTATGTAAATATTGACAACGTGAGTGCAACTAAAGATAGAAATTATTGTATAAACTGCAACCCCTTTCAATGGATAATTTCAATTAACATGTGATTCCCTCGAGCAATGCGATATCTCCGACAACAAAAAAACTGGGCGTGGTTGGGTGTCGTTCAAAATCTCTCTAAATCGTTCAAGGGGGCAAAGCCCCCGAAAAATAGGACAATTTAGGGGTTTCAAAGGCTTATTTAATCGGTTTTGGGTCTACTAAATATGCAAAAAATACATATACATGCCTCTCCCCGACGAATTGTGGTTTTTCACCCCGACGAGGGGGCCTGGACTTGTAAACCGACCGCTGGCGCCAGCCCTGAAATTATTCCCATTAACACTAAAGCCGGTAACTCACTGCATGTGACGGCAACGCAACGAAGAACGCTCGCGGAGAGACGCGAACCCAACGGATCGTCTTTTTAATGAGGATCCGTTCAGATTGCCACTGACAATCAGCAGACGGCGTTGCGTCGTCTATCGCTCGCCGGGAGCAAATGTGGATTCGTCTGCGACGGTCGTACGACGCAGTGAGTGTCCGTCTTAAGAGTGGACTGCACACAGACTAAGCTTAGCAACAACTTGTAATAGTTTTTTTTATTTGTTTAATCTGTCTAAGTTCCCTGTTCAGAAGTTTGCGATCATAGTTCCCACAGTGATCTCTCTTTCGTCTTTAGATAGAGGACGCTATATTACCCGTAAGCTATAAATAATTGTATCATAAACAAGAATTTGGTACGATATAAAGAATATTATCCTCTTGCACCAAAAATATTGTTAACGTGTGAACATTATGCATAATAGAACGCGCACCGTATTTTATTCATGTGTATCCTCATATTCTTCTTCAGTGTCTTCGTCATCTTCAAGAGGCGATGTAACTGGATTAGTTACCTGAGGCTTAATAGGCGGCGTAACACCACTCATAGACAGAAGCTCTGCTAGGTGTAATACCCTGTTGTTGAATTGACGTTTTTTAGTTATATCATCGTTCAAAGTGTTTCCTCTATGACTACTGTTTTTCATTACAACTGACGATTTGTTGCCAAATTGTACACCATCAATCCTAGAAATATACTTTCTGACGGATCCCATTGAGTCTACTCTGATAGAGTCATCCTCGTTAATTGCATCCTGAATTGGCTCAATTTCATCATCATCGTTCTCTTCATGACCAGATGTCGTCTTATTTTCAAACGAAACTCCTCTGTGTGGCATGCTTTGGTTAGATTCATTTTCACTTAAGATTCGTTCATATTGGGTTTCTACCCTCGTAACAATCGGTAGTTCATTAGAACGACTGTCATTTAATGCGAATATGCTTTCTGCGTTTTGAAAATGTTTTGGCCTGTTATAACTATCAACAGTTAAATGCGAAGAGAGTTCTTTGAGTTCCTCGTTATTTGGCACATCAGCGTTTGTGATGCCTGCCTTAAGGCCTGCAGTCGTTTCAGATTGCCTTAACTGTAATTCGACAAGCGATTTACTTGAATTATTACCGTTTTCCATAAAAACTCCACCGTCCCTTTCTGATAGTGAGGACGTTTTCCTAGTTGAATTCGAATGATGACCTACTGATACCAATGATTCGCTTAAATTCCTGTCAGGAATGTTTATCAAAAGTGCTGAATTCTGCGTACTGCTTGAGTCCGAGTGTTTTTCAACAATGTTTCCTTTGTTAAACCAGGGATCAGTTATCTCTTCTGCCTCTGACTGTAGTTTTTGGAGCGAGTTTGTAAGCTGCAATCTGGTACATTTTCTGATGTAGTTTTCATTATCTGAGAATCTAAGAGAAGTGTCTTCTACCAACCAAGATTTGTGGCAAGAACTAGTATCACGTGGTTTACCCGTCATTTTCTTTACATGATGTGTTATGTTCTCTTTCTTTTTCCGTATCTTTTGTTTAGCAGCTTCCCTTAGACGTTTGCGGCGGGATAATTCGAGTTTGTCTAATCTTTTCTTCTCTTGTTTTATATCTATTCTTCCATCAAACGTTCTATCGACTTCTTGAAGATCAGCTAATGTTGTCCTGCCAGATTTACCAAAGCCAATAGCGTGCAGTGCAGTATGCAATATCTTTAGAACGTAGTATGGTCTAAAAAAAAAAAAATTAGTGCAACTTTTGAAAGTATAGTTTACATTGCTAAAATTGCGTTTTGTGGAGCTGAATAGTACGCAGAGTGTTTTTATATCTACTTTAGTGACTTTATTTTATTGAGAATGTATTGAGTATTCAGTAGGCCTACGATAACACGCCAGGTTGGGCAAAACTTCAATCCTATACTTAATTTTGTCAAAGACTCTGGATTTATGTTGTAATATTCACCTTTTACGCACAAATTTGGCACAAGTAACTGTAGTGGTGACCACCGCGGCAAGTAGGACAGCAGCAAAAAAGATTAACACAGTCTCCATCCACTCAGATAATAAATGTGCCAGTACATCTACAGAGAAGTAAACATTCGAATTTATTATGATTATTAACATTATTACTGTGTGAGCTATTCATTTTCGCCATATTAATCTCATGTCTAATTTCAGAAAATTATCATATTATTATTATCATTATTATTATTATTATTATTATTATTATTATTATATTATTATTATTATTATTATTATTATTATTATTATTGTTATTGTTATTCAAATATTGTTTTATTTAGTTTTGTTGTCATTTTTCGTTTGTTGATACAGTACCATTACCACTACCGCAGTCACTACTATCAATAATTTGTTTTTTTCTTTTAATGATTGCGGCAGGAGTTGGGGACTTACCATGTGGTTCAATAAGTGATATAGCGAACGCTTGATAAATTTCCGCTCTGTCCGGATAGCGAAATTGGCATCCATACATACCTTGCCTTTCTTTATCAATTGAGTGGAGATGAAGGATAGTTGTGTTTGGCAGAAAAACATTCTGTATTTCAAAGAAAGAATAAACAGGATGTTTTTTACGACATCGTTATATTAATTATTAATTTTTTAATCATCCTAGCAAACCTTTACCATTATGAAGAATAGTGTGTCATTTGCTTAGAAACCAGCTGTCCGTTGGTCTGCTTTGCTATCGTGAGCGGAAACGTGGTGGTCAGCGTCATACACGTAATTGTCGACAATAAGCGTCACACCGTTGTCAATTTAATTCACTTAAACGCCACGCTGTTTGATATTCCAATTCAATATAAACTCATTGGCCTTCAGTACACAATTGCTATACAAAACGTGAACACATAGACTGAAATTTAATATCGCAAATAACTGTTGGGTAGGCCATTTATCTTTCTTTCTTTCTTTAGTCCCGTTTTAGCTAATGCATTGAAATAATTATTGCATCATTCGGTATGTCTCTGTCACGTAGGCCTACGCTGGTTCAATCCTGTCATTATGATGACATGTGGACTGAATTTTACATTACAACATACTGATACATTTATCCCACGTTGCGCTACGACTAAATTTTTGCTTTCCTTGTAATCTTAAATTTTTATTAGTTCTCCATGTCTATGTTGTTTTAAATTAAATGTATTTTTATGTGTTTTGTCTTGATTGGAGTTATCTAAATTTATTTTTTTCATGTCAGGTTCACACGAAATCCCTAGTATCCGGATCGGGAGCTAACCATTAGCACCCGTGTGTGAATGTCTGATCGGTTAGTGCAAACCGTTACATACCAGGATCCGGATACGCTAACGGTTAGCGAGCGCTATCGGTTAGCAAATTGAGCGCGTTTCTATCATTAACCAATCACACGTACGCGTTTACAATTTTCAGTTTCCTATTAATCAGGGATTCGATCATCATCTTCTTGGTATCTGGATCGGGGATTGTCTTGTATAAACGCATGGCAGCTAACAGTTAGCAGGATCCAAGATCCTGCTAACCGTTAGCTGCCGTGTGTGAACATAGCCAGCCACAAAATATTATCTCTATTTCAATGTACGATATACTAATGTTAAGTTCGGTGAAGTATGCACTCAGCTTACGTTTTCCTCCAATCGAATGTGATCGAGTGTTGTATCTACGATCTGGTTCTCCTTCAACCACACAACCTCAAAATCGTGTCTATAAGTTGTATAGCGGCATCTGAGCTGCACGCTTTCCAAGGGAACCACATAATACTCATGAAAGTTTCCTGAAACTAAATGTTTAAGAGTTTTTATAACATAAACTGTAGATAAAGGGAAACTCTCAATAATAGGTAGTTTTCGCTGCACGACTTTAACCTTAACGATTAATAATTTATTCATCTTGCGTTGCGGAGTACGTGAATTTCAGGATTTTACGTGCTCGACGTACGGTACGTTAGTTACGGGTTTGCGCATGCGTATTTCGATTTGTTTACAAAAAGGGGCGGAGCTATCGCGTTGCATGTCGGGTACTAACGTTAAAGTTAAGGTACGTCGTGCGGCGAAAACTACCTACTTGTATCGACTTGTTGTTAACAGTTGGAAAAAAAATGCTGTGTTACTTTATTTAGGCTTACCAGCTAATGTGGCGGATGCCGAGTCGACACTTTGATCCCAAGACTGTTTAAACATGTCTTCAATAAAATATTCTGCGGCATTCAATTTAATTTTGTAGATGTTCCCATTAAATCCAGAGATGTCAAGTTGTCCATATTCCTTCAGACGTAATCTCCTCCATGATGGAAGCCCTCCAACGTAGACGGAAGTTGCCGGGGTAAAAAATTGTAGACCCGGCCCAGACAACTGGGACGCTGGACCCTTGTTGACTCGTAAAGACACCTGATTCACTTCAATTTGTATATCGATGATAATCCATGTTTGAATCTGGAATACGAATGTTCACCCGGTAAACATTTAAATAGTTGCAATCAATTGTAAAATTACTACCGGCATAAAGCCGGGCACACACAAGAAATCTGCTACGCCAAATTCGTAACGCAGATAGACCTCCCCGATGTGTGACGTGCTTAAAGGCTTCGTAATACAGAAACATAGACCATGATCAATATACCTAATTTAACAAAACAGTCCTTAGGTTAGTAGGTCGATTTTTAACTTTGCTGCTTCTAGATCTTTTGTCTTTTCTTTTCTCCCTCATTCAAAGATTACAATCAGGTACTGCAGCAAGCATGCATAAATAAGACCAAAAAAAATTATTAGAGGGCGCATTTTCTACTGGAAAAGCAGGATGAAAATATACATGCCAGTCAAAAATATAGTCTCACACTGCCACCGATCAGGAGCCGATCTTGGGAGGTAAAAAAAAGGGGAAAAAAAAATTAAGAAAAAGATATCCCAGAACGCCTCAAATGTTATTTTCGGGCGTCTAGAACACAACATATGACAGGGTTGTCTCGATCAGCCCAACTTTCGCCCTCCCCCCTTGCCCCCTTTTGGACATCTCTGGATCCGCCCCTGCCGATGGTCAGTGGATTAGCCTTTAAGGTATCGGACAAGCGCTCAAGATCAATATATGCAGTGTGCATGAGGCTTAAGCCATAAGGGAGCCTATCTAAGCGGTTCCTACCTCATCGAGATCTCGTTCCAACTCCATTACCCTATTTCTCAGACGCACGGAGAGAAAAAGCTTTCCTTTGGATAGTTCCAGGGACAAAAACGAGCCGGAAATAGAGCCGCTCACAAACAGCAAGAGACCAATGGAGTCCTGAGCATTGACCACAGCTTGTATGTCTTGCAGATTTTCATTATACTTTAGTGGGATAGTAAAAAATTGTTCTCCGTTGAACGCAGTGACGGCTGCCATTATATCTGTAAAATTACTATTATGTTTAGGAAGGTCAAGGTTTGAAGAAAAAAAAAAAAGAAAAGCGAAATAACAGCAATTCCTTCGATAGCACAACGCATCACGGACATTTCATAATTCATTTTAGTCAAAAGATTTTGTTTGGTAAGTTACAGCGAACAACCGATTAATTGTTCCCATATGAAGAACAAAATATTCTAATTTGTGTACAGTGTTTAATGTGAGAGCACAATGTAAAGAACATGATAGCGTGTTTCTAAATATTGTATTAATTAGTGCCAAATAAGTGAGGAATCATGAATACAATGCTGAAGTTATCAAGACACTCTTAGTTCTTACCCATCATTTCTATGCCACTGTTCAAGCTCGTATATGGCCGATTTGCTCCCTGCCAATTTTCGACATCTTCAATCAAACTCATGGAATAATAGTTCATTCTAAAGGTAGCAATCTTCCCAACAAAACCAGTCCAGTCTGTAATAGTATCTCAACATTATTAGAATAACCTTTATGATGAGGTTTTTAATGTACACGAATTTGCTAAACTACATTTTGTTAAAAACTACTATTGAATAGTTTTACCTGTTAACACACTATCATCCTCTGGGTAGAGATGAGGCATACAGCCACCGAGGTATAGCGGGATGTCGTAGTCGAGATTTTCGGACAGTTCGTCGGTAAAATTACCCGTATGCGTGTATTCGTCATTTACACGAACATGTCCCAGGTTTCCTGTGATAGAAACTTGTACCGTGTTCCATTCAAAAAGCTGTGCATGAGAAAATAAAGAATATAATATATTGAAAATGCTAGTAATATCGTGTCTTGCTAAATTGAACAATACTATAACTAACAAGACATTTTTGGGGTTTTTCAATATATCCTGTCTCTTATACACATCTAGATGTGTATAAGAGACAGTATATGCAGTGTGCATGAGGCTTAAGCCATAAGGGAGCCTATCTAAGCGGTTCCTACCTCATCGAGATCTCGTTCCAACTCCATTACCCTATTTCTCAGACGCACGGAGAGAAAAAGCTTTCCTTTGGATAGTTCCAGGGACAAAAACGAGCCGGAAATAGAGCCGCTCACAAACAGCAAGAGACCAATGGAGTCCTGAGCATTGACCACAGCTTGTATGTCTTGCAGATTTTCATTATACTTTAGTGGGATAGTAAAAAATTGTTCTCCGTTGAACGCAGTGACGGCTGCCATTATATCTGTAAAATTACTATTATGTTTAGGAAGGTCAAGGTTTGAAGAAAAAAAAAAAAGAAAAGCGAAATAACAGCAATTCCTTCGATAGCACAACGCATCACGGACATTTCATAATTCATTTTAGTCAAAAGATTTTGTTTGGTAAGTTACAGCGAACAACCGATTAATTGTTCCCATATGAAGAACAAAATATTCTAATTTGTGTACAGTGTTTAATGTGAGAGCACAATGTAAAGAACATGATAGCGTGTTTCTAAATATTGTATTAATTAGTGCCAAATAAGTGAGGAATCATGAATACAATGCTGAAGTTATCAAGACACTCTTAGTTCTTACCCATCATTTCTATGCCACTGTTCAAGCTCGTATATGGCCGATTTGCTCCCTGCCAATTTTCGACATCTTCAATCAAACTCATGGAATAATAGTTCATTCTAAAGGTAGCAATCTTCCCAACAAAACCAGTCCAGTCTGTAATAGTATCTCAACATTATTAGAATAACCTTTATGATGAGGTTTTTAATGTACACGAATTTGCTAAACTACATTTTGTTAAAAACTACTATTGAATAGTTTTACCTGTTAACACACTATCATCCTCTGGGTAGAGATGAGGCATACAGCCACCGAGGTATAG